ACTAGCAAGCCATTCCGAACTATCTGTACGCCTCGGCTTCGAACTATCTAGCCCGTGCCACGTGTAGCCGTGCGGCACGGGGTTCGAACAAGCCGGCATTTAAAAATGGCGCCGGCCGGCTTATGCAAATGAAGCCCGGGAAATTCAAATCCCGGGCTTCGTTTGCAAGTGCTTTATGCTTACATTACCACCCTAGTTCGAACTAGGGTGGTAGTGTAGACATACCCGCAGTAGGCAGCGTATCAATGGACGTAAGTGGAGAAGAGACACTGAGTCTATGTCTACACTATGACTTTTGCCAGAAGAGGCAATGCAAACGAAGCATGGATTAGCATTTTCTCATGCTCATTTGCATAATTTTGAGGTGTTTTTGTGCAAGGGTTTTTTTCACAAAAACAAGCAGTGTGGACATTTTATTTTTGCACAAAAAGGGGGGGTTGGGCAAAATGGAAGCCGCTACACTGCTTCTTTTTGTGCGAAAAGAAAGGGCAGAAAATATGCTAATGATATTGTGACTTATGCTAATGATCCTCCATTAGCATATTTTCTGCTGCAGAAACTCTCTGTGTAGACAAAGCCTGGGAGGTGATGTAAAGAGCATGGATTGGCTGGGCTAGATAGGCAGTCTCTGATCTCACCATTATATAGTGCCTGGACATCTTACTGATTTAAGTGCATATTTGAGATAGGAGCCAGGAAAGAGGGGAGCAACAGGAGTTGCTGGGTTGTGGAGCTAAAGAGCAAAGTCACTATCAATGTGCTAATTGCCTCACGTGGATAGAAAAAAAAATCTCACTGCACTTGAAATGAACAGACACCTCTGAAATGGGATCACATCTTTGCCCAGAACTAAAGAAAACCCCATAAGAACTCAAAAGCTTTTTTTTTTTCCAACCAAGTGATTTAAACTACTTAAAATCACACCAATAAACACAGTCAGTGCTTTATGCGGGTGCGACAGAGACTTTAAAAACTGCTGACTAGCATTACGCTGACATTAAGTGCCAGCCTTAGAGCACGTTAAATGGCTCCCATCCTCAAATTTCGCAAAAGAGTTTAAACAAGCACCACTGGGTTTTCTGGTTTGTTTTTTGTTTTCAGTCACCGCTTGTTTCAAATGGCTTGAAGAAGTAAATACAATGAAACAGACTAAATGGGAGAATAGTCATGAATGGTGAAGGGCTATCCCCTTCCTTTTTTGAATATCATTATATATTTATTGGAACGTTGGCCTCATTTTCAAAAGTTCTGAAGCTCAACACCCCGTCCCTGTCGCAGGCTTTGCCCTCATTCCACCTCTGCCTCCAAGACCCTACCCCTCCTACCCTGCCTTCTCTCTCAAGGACATCCCTTCCCCGCTACTCCCACTCCCTCCTGGAGCTTCCGGAATACTGTACATCAGCTGTTTGTGGTGCTCCAGAAGTTCTGAGAGAGTGAGGGAGAAGTTGGACATCGGGGCCACCAATGAGTGAGAGGTGCAACATGGGAGGGAATCTGAGATGGGAAGCTGTAGGTGTTCTGCGCCCACTAACTTTTCCCCATGGGTGCTCCAGCTACGGAGCACCCGTGGAGTTGGCACCTGTGTTTCTGAGTACCTGGAAATTTCACTGAGGTGAGTGGGAGCTGCTGTGCTTGGGGTATGTCTACGTTACAGAGAAGATGGAAGCTGCCGCTGTCAGGTCTAGTGAAGACATGCTAATTCAAACTGAGAGGGGCGTACTAGTCGTTGCCAGTAGTCCTGCTTCCACGAGGAGTAAGGGAAGTCAAAGGGAGAGCAAAAAAATAGCTATTACAAAGCTGAAATCAAATTGAAAAGCTGCTGATGGGTCAGGTAAAAGCTATAAAGCTCTGGACTTCTTGTCCATTCCTGCAAAGATAGCCTACAAAGTACAGCATTTATTACTTTCCTGTGTGCAATAACACACCTAACACACATCAAGATAGTGACTGAGGCTGGGTACCTGTGATTTTGAGATGATAGAAAACATTGGGTTTCAAGCTTGCCTGTGCAGTTCTACAGTAGAGATGAGGGCTTTATTTTGTATGGTACTGAGCGCTGTGACCCTCATCCAATGAAGCACTTGAGAATGTATTGAAGTTTACGTGGAATGGCTGGGGGTAATATGATGGACAACTGTATTACACGCCACTCTCTTTAGGTGTGAATATATTGCCGTCAGAAAGTGTGATTGCAGCATAAGAAGATATATCTGAGCTAGCTTT